GGTTTCGGATATAATCGGTAGCAGTCGCGTGCGCTTGCGCACGCCAAATTGCCGAAGCTTTTCTTTCGCCACGAGTCAAATACGAATTCGTCTCACCATCGAACTCGATCATGCGCGCGCATGTGTGTGAATGCAGCGCACTTGTGAAAAATGTTGGTTGCACGCGAATCGAGCAACGCGGCTTATTGTCCGACACGAGTTCACCTGCTGCCTGCCGATGAAGAAATTCTGACAAAGAACCTCACAGGTGCCATTCGTTTTTTTCACAATGTTACACACTGAGGTGCCTAAAGGGTACACAACTTTATAACCCGTTGTCCGCCGCGTTGCGCAACCATCAACCGTTGAAAAAAAAGATCAAGCATACTTCCTTTACCTTTCTCGCCACTTATCGAGTGAAAATCATTCGTGGAGCCATCCACGATTCAAATTCTTAGAGGATTAGCATTGTTGAATGATGAGAAGGACCATCCATCGATTAATCCATTGACTTGAGGATTAACGCCATGTTTCGAAATATATCTGCAATTAATTACTTCATTAATCATTCATCAATCAATTAAATGCGTTTAATGGTGGAATCGAGTTTGATACGCGATAAATATCAATTCGAGCCAAAAGATTCATTTTGTAGGACTAAAATATTATTAAGTAAAATACAATCGAATCTTGAAATTCTCTGCTGCAATCAGAATTTCTATAATTCGAAAATTTATAGCTCTCTCCTTGAAGTTCGACTTATCGAGATTCGACTGTGTAAGAATTTATTTTAACATTCTAAATGAATAATAGCATACCTTATTTTTTTTTATTCTTTTCACTTAAAAAATAGATAAATAAATAAAAATAATATTATATCATAAGATAAATATAATATGCAATATGTGGAAAAATAATTTTCAAGAAAATTGATTTCTAATAAGTACTGTATTCTTAAAATTTTGAACAATATTTGATTCTATATAATTGAAAATAGTTTTAGATTTATGGAGAGTTCAAAGTCTCAGATTCTACTCAAAAGAATTGTTTCATATTTACGAAATATTCTATCATGCCAATATTAAATTATCGTATTGTTTACGTATACTCAATCCCATCATTAATGGTATCAATTTAATCAAGAAGCACAAACGACTGCGCTTTTTGCATCGGCTAATTACAGGCAAGGTCAAGCCGAATGGCGGCAGCTTAGCTCGTGGAAAAAAAAAAAAACGAAACACGCGTGTCACAAG